TGGCTTCTTGTCTAAAAACAGATGGTTGGGAGTGAGAACCTCCTCTTATGATTGCTGTTGTAAGCTGTGAAAGCAACAGATGGTTGCCAATGCAGAGAGCACAAACCTAGAGTTGTCAAGTTCCAGTTTTAATTCCAGCGTGGTGTGAGCCATATTTTGTTCCCCTCTATCCAGATCCTGTCTCCTCAGAATATAAAATAGCTAATCTTTTTGTCTGTAAGTATGGAGATATCTGCAAGGAAAACAAACAGATCTAGGTTTGTGTCTTCTTCAGTACGGCAGATCTTAGAGGTGTGAATTTCTCTAGACATTTTGGTCAAGGTGTAGGGAGGTACTTGCTGCAAAGTAGGCTCCTCTAATTATCCTTCGTGTCTCCAAGTTGAACAGAGAGAACCTAATTCCATGCCGGAGGAGAGGGAAGCCAGTGGCCTCACATTGTGCTGAGGAGGGTAAGGACCTCTGTCCCCACTGCTCTTACTTGGCCATTGTTACCATAAAACAGGGAAGCTACAAAGAATACTGTGGGATCTCAGCTATGTCCGCTCCTCTGACTTCAATTTTCTTATAAATAAATGGAAATTATGCTTCTGTGAGTCAAGAAGGTTGTCTAGAAATTGAGTATGCAGTTTGTCTTAGCTGTTTTGTTTTTGTTTTTTGTGTTTTTTTTTTTGTTTTTTAAATAACCCATCGCACTGTAAGCTGTGTGCACCAAAAGCTTTTGGGAAGCTTTGCAAAGACTAATGCATTATTAAGCTAGCAAACCCCTATGGGGCACCCTAACAGATGGGAAGATGCAAGCAGAGAGAGGATAATAACTTGCTCAGGGCAACAAATTATGTCAGCAGCAGAGTTAGGAATGCAGTTTGTGTGTTTTTAACTATGTCTTCCAGCTGATATCCATGGAATTAGGCAACTTGAAATACAACACAGGGTTTTTTTAGTCTGAGCAAAACCCTGAAATGAAGAACAATATGCTGTTGCAGAATATCAAGACCATTCTTCATGCAAGGAGTTCTTTGGATTGTAGGTTAAAACACATCCACCTAGTCATCCAAAATACAGTGAAAATCAGTGATTCAGTATGCCAGCCAAGGCAGCAGAGAATCTGAGAGAGGGATATTGTTAGGTACTGTAGCAGATGGAAAAAGAGACCTAAAGGAAACATTTTAAGGACACAGATAATGCTAGATTTGCCTGTAAAATACCAAAACTAGAAGGAAATGAAAATTTGTAAGTATGAATTTCCTTTCTCCCTTCTTAAAAACAACTCCCCCCAAAAGCAAAACAAAAACCAAAAAACAGTCCTTCCCAGTTTGTAGTTGAGAAGCCAAGATGAATCACTGGTTCCTCCATCTCATCTTCTTTCCTTTGTCTCTTCTTCATTGGCAGCTGTCCTTGCTTGCTGCAGAGATGCTAGGTAAAAGATGAATGCTCCTGTTGCAGTGTAGTATCTTCCAGATGGTGTCCATATAATACCACAGCACTGTACCATGTTAATTTAGCCAACACACATTCAATTTATTACAGTTCCTACATTTTCAGCATGTTTTTTCTTATTTATATGTATCTCTTTCGGGAAACAGTGAAAAACTTTGAAGTCCAGAGTGGACTTCACTAGACTGTACTAGTCTATGTACTATGGACTGGACTAGACTGTATGTCTGGAATTAAAACTTCACTGTATATTCCAATTCTTAGTGGCTTTCTTATCTATCGTATTTATATGCATAAATATTCCACTTAAATTCTTCACATATTGCAGTGCCTAAACATACAAAAAACTGCCTCCCCCATTTAGTCTGGAAGTTTAATTGCTGTACAGCATGGTGTGTACATGCACTCAAGTTGGAATTTATGTTGACTGACTTGTATAATTAGATTTTGCCATTGCATTTAATTTTAGAATAAAGCACATTTATTTCCCTTACACTAGATTCAGGAAATAAACTGTAATTGAAGCAATCAGATTTTTTTCCAGGCTTCTCTGATATTCTGAATAATAGTCTAAATTCGTATGGTATTTCAGATTCTTTAACTGAGTGCAAGCATTTATTTAGACCTGATACATCAGAGAAAGTTTTCAGATTTGGTTTTATTATTTCAGAGGGGATTGTTGGGGAGCAGAAGGAGGCTTTATACACAGGCAGCTTACACAGTGCTCATAGTGTTTAAGCCAGGCTCTCTCTGTGGAGGACCCGGGACCAGTTTAACTATGTGTCTTACTAAAATAAGTGGTGGTGGGCCGTTATTAGTATCAATATGAACATCATTTTCATAGCACAGGTGAGATTTAAAGAACAGCCTGGTAGCACTGACCTTGCTTCAAGCAATAGGATTGGTGGGTATAGCCAAATTTTCTGTCAGTTTACATCAGCATCAATGCAGTGAAATCTCTATAGTGAATACCACATACATCTTTGGCTGTGGTACATGAAGTATCTAATGACTCTGTACTTGTTTAACATCTTAAATGGGATGGACCCACAGCTTGCCCAGATGGAGCAGGGTATAAATCAAAAGGCATATAAAAAGATGAAGGCAGAGGGAAGATCAGCACTGCACACTCCTTAAAGAGCAGTGAAATCGCTCACTCCTGGATGACTGCTGATAGATGCTGAGGAAGGAAGATGCTGTACCAAAATGTGGCTGAACATACAAAGATTTGTATCCCATGGGATTTAAAATAGAAAAACTAAATAGTTTGGAAGTAAATCAGACAAATATAACTTGTCTTTAGGATGAGCAAATGAGTATTTGCCATGAATAAAAGGTCTGTCTGTAATTTGAAATGAATTAACTCGTACGTATTTTAGTGTCAGTGGACTCGCAGTAATTTCTGGTGACAGTTCTCTCCATTCCAATATTTAATGCATGTAGTACTCTTAATTATTGTAACCCAGGTGTGAGACTTTCATAAAACTGAAGAGTTTAGTAAAGGCAGTTCTTCAGTGGTAGAAATTATGACTATAAAGTAGATTTATTTTTGTAATTTTACGATTTAGTAGAGCTGATTTGGAGAGTCACTGATGGATCCACACGAGTGTTCTTGCATGCAGATTTCTGAACTCCAGGGACCAGTTTAATTTGCAGTTAGGAACCTTCTTTTAGGATTTTGATCTCCACCCTAAAGAACAGTGTGGTAACTCTGAGCAGGCTCTAACTACATTCAGTAATAGAAGGGAAGCATAAAGCGTACACTTAAAAACAACACCACCAAAATCATGTTGCTGTTGTGATTTTTTTGTTTGCTTGTTTGTTTTAAAAAAGTTATTTCTGCCTTCTATGATGAATAGCCACAGTGGCTGAGAAGACTTGCTTACTACGTCTTTCTTGTGCAACAAGATAGGACCCTGATGGTAGCAGAGAAAGAGCAGACCTTCAAATGGCCTGTCAAATGTTTCACAGTGGTTTCAGCTATAGGTTGTGAAATAGTGTGCGCATGTTTGCAGCTCAGCTTACTCTGGCTTATTGACAAAACTGTAGAGTAAATAGGGCTGGCATTGAAGTCTGTGTAACCAAAATGGCACATGAGCACAGAAGAGCCTGGCCAATGGTTGCCTCCTCACTAGTGCAAAATCTCCTCCAGTGCTTGCTTGCTGCTACATCTTTTCTCCGTTTCATGATGAAGATAGCAGTCTTCTTCCCACAGCTGCTGACTTTCAGATGAAGAGAGGTCTAGCAGAGACTGTTCTGAGGAAATTCTCACGCGATTTCTGAAATTCTAGTGATGCAATCTTAAAAACTTAACAGTTAATCAGTGAAGCACTTTTTTGAGGGTGCAACTATAGGTCAATAATCTGGTAATGTGACAGCTGCCAAGGAAACGAAAATTGAATTTTCTGGTCTGTTTCAACCATGGAGTTGAATTACATTTCTGTTTATATTTAATGAACAAATTATTCCAATATCTGTGAGATTTAATTAAGATGGGGAGCTTATGTGTGGAAGAGGGAGGCTGCTACAGCCTACAGATTAACCACGCACTGGTGTTTATTGTGGAGAAAGTACAAAACAGTCATTTTTCACTTGTCTTGGCAATGATCGGGATCAGTCCTAGTTATCTATGCTAAAAAACAAAAAAACTAAGGCAGGAATAGTAGGACACTGGTTCCTGCTACAGACCAAAAGAATCCTGGCAGAAATAAGCTGGAGCATCTCCCCTCATGGTTTTAATTAAAATATGTGGCAAAATCTTCTTTCTTCCTCTTGCTAGAGGGATTATGTCTGTTTTACAGTAGGGATAATATTTTAAGTACCTCTGTTCCCGTATGCATTGGCAGTAGGACTGGTGGCTTTAAATGCTATGGCTCTAAATGACCCAATCAGTAATCTTTTCCGACATGTCCCCCAAAGGACACTAATGTTTCTCTGAGAGGGTTCTTAATCTTTAATTTCTGTTTCTTGCTGCTATTTGCTGAGCTTGTTTACAGAAAGCAGAGTCTGGACAAAGGAGCTCCCTACTGATTCTTACCCTGTCCTGATCATTAGCAACAGGACAGTAAGATTTCTTTGGCTGAAAGAAAACTTTAAGGAGGAACTTAAACATCACTTCTACATATGATCTAAAGGGAACATTTAAGTTAAGTGTATTAAATAGCCTCAATCTAGCCTACCTTTGTATAACCTAGATGACTTTATAGCAGTCACATCTTGTGCTCTTTGGTCAAACAAATACTAACTCTTGATCTGAAAGCACGTTTGGAACAGAATTTTTTTTCCTTTGAATCAAAACATTTTATAAAGATACTCTTCAGTATATTCTATCACAGAGGTAAGTTTCTGTCAGTACTAACATAGAGATTGTATTTCTGTTTATATTCACATATAATTACTCTTAAATCGAGGTTTTGTTCCACACTAACTAACCAGAAACAGTTGTAAGCATTGAGAAAGTTTGCCTCAATGTACTTCCTGAAATACAAATATAGTTCCTGAATATAAAATTAATTAAATACAAGCAACAACTTAGCATTGAAGATAACAGAATTTTTCTTTCTCAGGAAGACTATGATCGTCTGAGACCTTTATCTTATCCTATGACCGATGTCTTCCTTATCTGCTTCTCAGTGGTAAACCCTGCTTCATTTCAAAACGTGAAGGAAGAATGGGTACCGGAGTTGAAGGAATATGCACCTAATGTTCCCTTTTTACTAGTAGGAACACAGGTATCTGTTTCTGTTTTAGTTTATATAAATAACTTGACTGTTTATGCCCTTTCTTGGGGCTCAGAGTTCAAGTCCAGCAGGATCTGAGCAGCACCTCCTTCTGGATTTGCAGAACTACCCCAACAATTGGCAGGAAACTTTAAATCTTGTGTTGTTCTCTAATAAGCAACTTCTGCTTTGTTGAAATAAATGCATTGGTGTGCAACTACCAGTCATATCTATTTCTTACGGAAGCTAAGGAACAAGCGGAGAAGTGAGACAAAATTTCCTCCTGCATCTTGCAGCCAGTGGATTGGACTCCAGCTATGAAGTGATCCACCTGTCGCTATTATGTTTGAGTTTGTTGTGCTGCCACTGCTAGATATACATTCTAGTATTTTAATTGAAGAGCTGAGTTAGGGAGTAAATGTTTTGAACTTCTGGACTGAACGCAGTTCACAGCTTAAATTTCCAGGGCTTTTGGATCAGTTAGGATTGAAGATCTAAACAGTGACATGATTCCATTTTTTTAATGCTTTAAAAAGAGGTTATTTATATAACAACCAGTTGACTTTTATTTAGAAAAAAGCTATTCCAACATGTCTGCAATCTTTCTTGCTAGATTGATCTTCGTGATGACCCCAAAACTCTGGCAAGATTGAATGATATGAAAGAGAAGCCTTTATCTGTGGAACAAGGACAGAAATTAGCAAAAGAGGTAAACTAGAAACTCCTAAATGAAATGACATACCAAAGAAGCAACAAACATCAATTTTCAATTGGCTTTTTCTTCCTCTACAGCTTTGCCCATTTCTTTTACCAGTTGATATAGGAAACCTCATAACTGGTAGCTAAGGAGCAGACCTATGGAATAGTACTTCCTTATTAGTAATTGTTCTAACTTTCTGAATAGAAACTCGGTAAAAATTATGTAAGCATTAATCAGAGATAGTTGAAATCACAGAATGGTTGAGGTTAGAAAGGAAGCCTGGATGTCATCTTGTCAAATCCCCATGCTGGAGCAAGGTGCTGGAACCACGTGTAGGAAATTATTTCTGAATGCTGTATTATCATTTTAACACCCTGTGTGGATACTGTGACCATTTCTATTGTGACTTCCTTTTGAAACATAAATTGGTCATGTTATTTTTTGCTGTTTAGTTACTGAAAATGCCTGGAGGACCTCACTGCCTGTCCAAAGAGTTTATTTAATATGCTTCCTTTAGAAGACAAACCAAATTAAAGACATGCCCTATCTTTGGCCAGAATACAAATCTTCTGTTCTTCTACAGGGGGAAGCACATTCAGAAAAATTTTCAAGATTGCAGCCAAACTTTGTGGTTTTCACTATAGAAACAAATCGCTGAGGTGCACAGTTCTGAACAGCTGCAATATGTTGCTATTGAATTAACTTATTTTCTTGACAGATAGGAGCCTACTGCTATGTGGAGTGTTCAGCTTTAACACAGAAAGGACTGAAGACTGTTTTTGATGAAGCTATTATAGCCATTCTAACTCCAAAGAAACACACGGTGAAGAAGAGAATAGGTTCGAGATGCATAAACTGCTGTTTGATCACGTGAGATACATTTGACAATGGCCAGGCTTACTGTGAAATTCTACTGAATTTAAATACAACGCATTAAGTACACAGCAAACTTGTTTGAAAGCTAAAATAATGATTCTGCCTTCTACAACCAGTGAAATCCAGAGGAATACAATCAAAATCAATGAACTTTGTAATAGGAAGCCACCACATCTGTTACAAATATTTTATTCAGACTGGAAGGTACAATCTCTCAGGGTTACATAGTCTAGAGGAAGCAAAAAGCTGCACCATGTTGAAACAGCATCTGTATGATGCTATTGAGTGGAGGTGCTTGGCCTGTAATACTCTAAATGAATTTGGATAGTCGTCTGTTTTGACTACACATATACAGATATATCTAGAGGGGAAAAAAAAACAAAAAAAAACAACAACAAAAAAGAAACTTTTGCACAGTCTGTATGGAATCTGCACAAAGAAATACCTTGTCTCTCTTTGCGCCAGTTATCTGCTTTTGTATGTAAGCTGCTTGCGGTTCCAGTGTATCCACAGAGGTGCAATAATCAGACCAGCCATATAGCCAAAGGTAGCTCCGAGGGAACATGAAATGGGCCATACCTGAGGGGAGAATGCAAGGGAAAAGCAGACAATGAGAAAAATTGTTTGTGTTTTTTGTACTTTGTGAGCACAAATTCTCAGTGTAATCTAGGTACTGAAAGACAGTGGAGTCTTATTCTACTCTAAAGCTTGATGTGCTTTCCTAAAAATGCCACAAGTATAACAATCATACGTGCATCTTCATGAACACTAAATGCCGTGGTACAGTTTTGCTATTTTTTATATTAATATGTATTAAAATGTAACCAGGCTTCTGGCTGTTGCAGATCTTAGTTTGATGTTCCCAAAACTACGTGAAAAACTTACTAGCATTTATATCCCCCAAAGTGTTCAGCTAACGTAGCGTCCTGCTGAACACACCTTGAAACCTACAGATTTTATTTTTTGTGACAGTTAGACTTGAGGATCTTTGTAGGTCCCTTCCAACTGAAACTATTCTATTCTAAGTCTGCCTTTTTCCATTTTTCCTTCCAATCTTTCATGGTATTCTGAAACTTTCAGAGGTGTGTCTAAATAACCTAATAATACAATAAGGCCAGAAACTGAGATGAATAGAGGGTTGTTTTTTTTTTTTTTTAGGCTTGAAAAGTAGGCAGAGGGATGAATTCCCCTCTGGCTAGAAGAAGGAAGCAAACTTAAGTCTCGAAACTGACTGAACATCTTGCACCCAGTTCAGGAAAAATATAATAAGCCAGTATGTTGAAGACTCCAAGAGAGCTTTCATTATAGGCTCTATTTCCTAACATAAAAACAGGGAACTGACTCAATACAGCTGACTCACACAAAGCATCTAGTATTGAGGCAAAGAAGTAATGGAATCCTTCCCACCACCACTGTCAAATTGATTTTCAGGGAGGATGGGCCAAAAAAAAACTGTAAACATTCTGTACTCGGATGTAGCATATTTTAATGTCAACTGCGTGTTGCATTTGATGAAGGTCCCAACTAAGTTGGTGATTGAAAATATTGTAGAATAAACTGAATTCCCACCTCTCTTCAAAATTCTCCATTGTATATTGCAGGGACAATTTTGCACATCCTGCTGTACAGTCCTTAATCTAGTACAGACTGCACTGTCCTATTCTTTGTTTTTTAAATTAAGGGGGATATTCCCCTTCTATAGTACTTGAGACTGAGAAATGCACTAGACATTAAAGAAAATATCCACATCTCAGTGTCCAGCCTTTTTTTCTACTTCATTTTGACAGGCAATTCATGAGAATCAAATGAACTTGCTCTTAATGGTACTGGTTTCTCATTTTCCTAGATCTGATTATTTTCTTTACTCCATTATCGCAGGAAGAAATAGATTTATTCATGTCCTTCAATCATGGGAATTTTAACTAGGAATAAGAGTAACTTACTTTTGTCCTCTGCTGTTTCATCTTCACATTCCTTAGCATTTGCAGTTTTATATATTATTTGGAGGTCTTAAGGAGTGTAGCAAAGATGACTATAAACAAGGTGCCTTAGGTACTCTTTATTGACCTTGTTTCATTCTTCCATTTCCAAACATTCTATCTCTGCTATTTGGTTTCAATGCTAGAATGTTTTGGCTGTTGCCTCTCAAACCAAAGACTTGCTTGTTTCAATTCAGCTAACAGTGGCATTGTAGATCTTCTATAAAAAGCCTTGAGATGCTTTGGCACAGTAGGATATTATGTATATTTAAAACTCACATGACTTTGTGGCCTTGGCTAAACTTATGCTTCAGGTAGATCTTTTCAACTTTTAAAAGAAATGTAATCAAGTTGTTTCTAACACTTTGCAGGCTATTTTAAGTGTCTAAAGGACAAAAGCAAAAAAGTCCCTGAGACCCCATTACTCAGAAACGTTCAATGGAAACAGCAGTCAAACTTTCTTATCCACTGGTGAAGTGAAATACCGTTCTAACAAAACTAACAACAGAAGCTTCATAACTCAGTGGTCTTCTTTTGCATCAAATTCTCTGTGAGTGATCAATGATCCTTCATTAAATTTTACCTACATTAGGTGAATCTATTGTAGCCAAATTGCTTTTCAGAAGTATGAGTAGATGTCAGACTGATTTTTCATGTTCCCTTAGCCAGTAAGGTCAATATCTCTGATGACCCATTCGCTCTGTATTTTTTGGTATCGTATGTATAGTGAGCAATTGTTGAAATGATTAAAATTATCTCTGTTGATGCTGTAGCTTCTTTTTCCTGATTGAATCACAACTTGGAGCACAGTTTCTCAATAGTTTTCCTGAATTATGTAACTTAATACTGATGATGCCTCTGTTTGCCCTCCAAAACGTTCAGTTTTTGCTTTGATTTCTTAAAAAATCAGTGTTACCTCACAGGCCTTCAGGCTGTCTTACTTAACACATGACCTCTGAAATCCATCCCTCACCATGGCAGATATCAAAGGTAAGGGGTAAAAGGGAGAAACCGTACAACACTTCATCTCACTGACTGTGAATGGGATTGAAAAAGAAACATCATCCTTCTAGTGGCATAGAAAAGAAGGGTACTGTAGAAAAAAAGAATGTTACCAGGTGCCTTATTTCTGTTAAAGGCCCATGTGTCTTATGCTGGAGAAATGGCCCAAACAGTTGTAAAGGCATTTTGGCCTTCTGAAAACTCCCTAAGCACAGGAGCCACAAGCCTGGACATAAGAGAGTAGCTGTCTGGATGTCACCTCTCAAGGCAGGGCAAAACAATAAACAAGTAATGGTACAAGCTCTGCACCTTTTATTCATGACCAATGCCATATGGTGTATTTAAAGAAATCAGAGAAATATTAATATGTGGTTCTTAAGCTCATCAGCTGCACTGAAATAACAGCCCGTTTGTATGCTTTACAGTCTGTAGCAAATGTACTGCATCACGTCCACCAAAAAAAGTGAACTGCTTTCTTTTTCATCAGGTGCTGGCCTTGTTTTTCTGAGGTTCAGTCACTTTCTGCCGAACCTTTTTAAGTGAAATTGACTTCTTTGATCAATCTACTTTTGCCTTGTCTTGCATATTTTCTCTTAAACTTGGTTTGGTGTTCCTGACTCAGTTCCAAGTGATAAAAATCTAAGCAGCTGATAGACACCTACCAATTGTAAGAGATTCCCTCCATCTCACTTGTACCCAACTCGTAATATATTCTTTTCACTTTCTGAAAACTGCTCAGCTCAGTTTCTCCTACTCTGTGTTCCTTTCTGCTATGAGGAAGCTGACATAACCTACTCCATCACTGACATCATGCTTAGGGTGGAGTAGGTGGGTCAGCAGCAGAAAAATAAGATAATAGGCAACATTACCTAACTGCAGTTTTTTTGAGGGAGAGGAGAGGAAATTGATCTGCAGAGATTAATATGGGGAATGTAGGAGGCAGGACAGAACATTCTTCAGGGAACTGTTGTGAAATACCTTGTGTATCCCAGCAACTGGGAAGCATCAGCTACCATCCTCACAGCCCACTACAAAAACAGTCAGTTTATGTACCAAATGCATGTGGAACCAGGCCAGTTCTAACAATGCGTATGTGATTGCTGAGAATCTGAACAGCGGCTTGGCAACAACAAATCCCACCTGCATGCTTAACAAGCACAGAAATTGAATTTTAAGGGATAGAGCAGAAGCCAGTAGTTAACAGAAAGCAATCCTGACTTCTGCTATTTCAATTTTCTTCTAGCCTTGTTTTTTTTCATTTGGCAGTGCTGATAGGACTTAACAGGAATTTCTTTAGGCTAGCTAAATAGATACTGCAGAACTGCAAGGTTTCTAGTGTATTTAAGAACTTATTCTAAGAATGAGGAGTTGCCAACCTTTCAGGAAATAAATGAGCTAGTTTCCTAAGTGCTCTATAGAACACCTGTGAGCCGACTTGAGAATACTTAACATATTGCATGGGAAGAGGAGCATGTTGCAGGATCACAGCAAGATGATCCTTGCTCTGCTATACTATGCACATAGCTAGTTAAAGCAGATTTCTGGCTGCATGACAGTTTTCTTCTCTACTGTGAGTCCACAACATGCATCCCATGCAATAGGAAGCATCTCAACACTGATAATAACATAAAGGCCAGATTCTTACAACGCAGAGCAGTAAAACCCTGATAAAGGTTTTAAGGGTATCACAAAGTAAGCAGGTGACTGCTGGTACAGAGTGGGGTAATCTACTGCATTTATTATTTAAAAAAATAAACAGACTGGTCCCATCCTGCAGATAAGTGCTTTTTTCATATGCCTACACTAGGATTTTTTTGTATTGTTATTATTTCCAAAGATCTGTTTCTGGCTGTCAATTAGAAAGCTATGTAAGATTTTTATTTCACTTAAGAACTGAATAAATGAGCACAATGATTTTCCCTCTGTTTCTAACATGCCTTAAATTACAGATTGTTTAGTCTGCACTGTCTTAAAATTTTCAAAACATATTTTTAACCCATTTTGGTTGTGTGAATGTTAAGTAAAAGTGTCTTACCACATTGTACAGAATGTGTATGTTGACAAGCACGTGCTGTGGAGAAGAAAGTGTGAAGACTTTTTCAGGCTGGCATTTGTAACCAGAAGTTGGTTTTGTGGATTTGTGTTCTAAAGACCTAGCAAGCTTGGCTGCCTCTGATTTCACCATTAAGGTTTACACTAAGAAAACATACCTTTAAATAAACAATGATAACCCCACTGAAGTGGAACGGGCTTCTACCTCTCTTTAAAACAAACAAACAAAAAAACACCCAAAATCAAACACTTCCCCCATCCCAGTGGATATTATCACTGCTACTCTTCTGAAGCAACTTCTTTTACATCAAAATATCTGCTGAGGTTAATAGAAGCTAAAGCAAATACAAGAATGATATTCTCTCAGCTTACTTAAGAATAACAACGTAGCATGAAAGTTTATGGTTCTGGTTCAGCTTAGTTAAGTAACCACCAAAAATTGTGCCCATGATTCTCCACCAACTCTTTTTCAGGTTGCAACTATCCAAAAGGTATCTAGGCCAACCTTCAGCCATACTGGCTAAACTACATGGCAGTTAGGCAACTCAAGTTATATCAGCACTACGTTATGTTACAGACATTCAGTATGAAGTAGGAACTCATATTTCAATGTCATTTTCACATATGATACAAAAACACTGTAGACAAGATACAGTTTCAAAGTCACATTTTATCATCAATAACTACAGATCAAAATTATGCTATGAGAAAAATGGGTAGGCATGAAAACAGTGAGCTTAAGATGTTTTAAAAATCTGGTGTCAAAATATGCAAGAAAGCCAGGAACTTTACTCTTTGCTAAATAAAGTTTGTGAGTGATGTATAGGATGTCTGGAAAACTAGTTCTACAGCATACAGAGTATACTGACCAGGTTTTCATCATTAATTATACCATCTTGTTCTGCAACTCAGTTACCTCAGACTGTGCAAAGAAAGGATGTGTCACTTTGTGTCTAGTACCACCTAAACTATCCCACTCAGTTTCAGCAGTGTTGTGCTTTGAGGTGCCACTTCTCAGATGACACACAAAGCTCGGATCCTAATCACTCGTAATTGCAGCATCAACCTGAAAGAGTCAATCTGGAAAGAAAACCACAACTAAGCAACTGCAGCAGGAGTTATTTCCTTTTTCTTTGCTGAAACTATTCTAACTAACCCCAATCCTTACACAACCGTGCATCAGAGGCAACTAGCTATGGATGCATAACTCTTGAAAACTTCTGATCATCATCTAGAATAGTCAAGTGGTCACAATTAAACCCCACAAATTATTTGTAGAATTTCTTAGGAATTTGACAGCAGGCTCAAGACACTGAAAAATACTCATTCTACCAATATGACGTTTTTTTCTCTAGGAGTTTTACCTGTCTTTTTCATGTTGTGAAAAGTATATTTCTTTTTTGATACAGAATTGTAAATGTAGGGACTTGCTTTCCTGTACAGCTGTCCTTGTATCTTCAGTTTTGTCTGAGATTGGATTAATTCTGCAGTATTCTCAATTCTTCTATAACCAGAAAGAACCACCTGGTAGGTTACCCTGATCAACTGTTTTGCACAGTTACAAGTTTACTGAAAAGTAGCAGAGAGACAACAGGCATGGCCAAACTCTATGTTAAAAAGTTACTTTATGAATATCAACAGAATAATGAAGAACAATGAATCAGGATAGCAAATGACTTTCAGCAATATGTTACATGCTTCTAACAGAAATGCTTTACATATTTTTGATTTCCATTCTGAAACATTATTCAGACAATGGTCATTTTATTTCCAGTATAGTATTCCATTCCTGCTGAGTTTCATTTACTTAGAATAAAAGTTGTCAGTTATATGCCAAAAGACACATTTTACATAATTATATTTAAATGTAGGGCCACTAATCTGAATATCCCCTGTATGCAATATTTTTCACAGTATGAACGTGGAAAATAAAGTGAAGATTTTCTGAGATATCTGTATTTATCTTATTTTTCTTATGTGCCACAAGAGGCATGCATAAAGAACCAGTATGTTTTTAGTTGGTTTATGGGTAACAAAGTATGAAGCAGCATTTTGGTTTTAGCCATTAGGACATGGATTGCAACTCCTGATGATGAAATTTAATTAATTTTTTTATGAAGTTTGCTCCACTGAAATCTTAATCTTTTTGAAGTGAAAATGAATTCCAGTGAAAGATATACCAGACATACTGAAATCTGATTTTCTAATAAGGCAAGAAATAGGTAATGATACTATAAACTACTCCAGTTCTTCTATGTCTCCAAGGATGGAACTTCCACCACCTCACTGGGCAGCCTGTTCCAGTGCCTCACCAGCCTTAAGTTGTAAAAAACCAACTTCCTTATGTCCAGTCTAAATTTGCCCTCTTTTAGTTTTAAACCATTTTCCCTTGTCCTGTCACAACAGAATCTACTGAACAATCCTGTCCCCTTTCTTCACAAAGCTCCCCTTTAGATACTGAAAAGTCCCCATCAGGTCTCCGCAGAGCATTCTCTTCTCCAGGCTGAACAGCCCCAGCTCTCTCAGTCTGTCCTGGTAGGGAGGGTGTCCCACCCCTTGGATCACACTCCAACAGTTTCATATCTCTCCTGTGCTGAGGATGTCACATCCAGATAGAGTACTCCAGGTGAGGCCTCACCAGGAGAGTTTTGACTGGGCTGTAAGTACTTTTGAGCCTATGTTAATATCTACATGATTTTTTCCACACCTTGTCAAGGACTTAATCTGTAGGTGTTCCTGTAAGCATGCCAGCTGGATTAAATTCTACACAGAACACTCCCAGCTCGGTCTTTTCTTTTTCCTCCCGTGAACCTTGTTCAGTAACTATGTTATGTACAGATATTTTTATGATCAGGAAGTCAACCTGCACTAAATATTTTCTTCATAAAGCAAGTACATTTACAACTACATAATATTTCATCATGCCCATTCACCATTCTCTGCCTTAAGCTAAAGGTAACACTTACAGCACCTTTCCTCTTTCATTGCTACTGTGAGAGGATCTACTATGAGCTTCCATAATTACCTGCCATCAGGTACCAAAAGGAACATTGTTCCAAAAAGAGACTGTTTCTAGTACACATAATTTCTGAAGAATGACAGAAATGTCTCTTGGCTCTGAATACAGCAAGACACAGCTGCTACATGCAAGTCAATACCTGTGATGTTGAATCCATACTAAGTGGGGACAGAAAGACAAAAAAGTCGTGTAAACTCTTGTATGAAATACAGTGTTTCTGGAGAAGCTGGTTCATAAATATATATCAGCCAGCTTGGCTGAACTGGAAAGATGTGATTCCTGGGCAGCTTTTGAAAATACCTGCCTAGGATACTTAAACTTTTATTGTCCTCTTTAGTTAGCAACACTTAAGAGATCATGTTCAGGAAAAACAAACAAACAAACAATAAAACCAAAACGATTAAAATAAATAAATAGATAATTGCAAACTTCTCAGAGTTGTGAACAGGACCTCTAAAAAGCTACCTTAAAGAAGTTCCACTCCTACCTTCATGACTTGTTACCATTTTCATGCTTCACTGCAATACAACTATAAAATATAAAGGCTTTTAAAAATAACTTATTTCATTTTTTCCTACAAAGCAGATCCTTAAAAAACAAAACAAAACAAAACCACCTAAAATTACAGTTTTCAAAGGCTGTTGAAATGGCAGCCTGCAGAACTGATAAGCAAACTTCTCTATTCATCTGACCTCTTGAATTACTCAGATGATGATTCAACTAATGATCAAGCAGTTCAGACTCAAAATGGAAATTAAGATTTCTTCCCCAACCCCATTATTTTAAATTCTACAAGGTAAAAGGTGGAGGAGCGGAGAGCATTCATGTCCCCAGAAACAGCTGGTGACAAGTTATGATATTTGAAGCTTCTGCCAATTCTTTGCTGCTCTGAGGAATCAGATAATATATTTTTAGATTTACAGATTCCAGATCTTAACTTCAGTAAGTCTGTTATGTTCAGCTTGTATGACTTCGAAGACTTTTCAAACAGAAAAAGCTGACTGTTAGCAAACTTGTGTCTCTTAGAGCGGGGAGACAGTGGGAAGGACAGATCAAAAATGAAATGGGCTTGAAGTTATCAGTCTTAATCAGAGCATATTGACTTTTATTAAGTTTTTCTTATATCGCTGGTGCATAAAAGAAGGTTTTTATACATGCAGTTTAGTGTTTTCTGAGATTTTGTGCACGTATACATGCATGCAATATATCTGCACCAGCATAAAAGAGATGAGTAGTCACACGTGTGGATGGTAATGGATTGTCTAAACATGAGGTGTCCAGTGCCATTCTAACTATGCTCTCTCCTCTCCAGCTACTGCTCTGAAAGGTGACGTGTTTCCTCTAGGTCCTCTGCCATCAGTCCAATGTGAGTTTCTGATGCATTAGATGGCACTCAATATTATGATTAGGCTACCAAGTATCACCCAAAACTCATGCATGTGGGTTTAACTCCAGTTCTAAATTTCCAAAAGCATTGGTCAAAATGATAACTCACTGTAAGGGAACTGTTGAGTTACGGCCTGAACCACTGACTGAGCAGCTGGGGAAAGGACGGAGCTTCTTGAAGACCCGTGCTTCACCTGGGAGCACAGGTGAAGGCAATTCAGCTGTGTTTCTGGAAGGGGTGGAGCCTGCACCCTCTTAGGCTTCATTTAAGGGCTGACTGCCACTGGGGAAGGATCTCTTCCTGGAGATCCCTTCTTGGTGGAGCTTTCTCCTGTGAACCTGCAATCTTCTCATACAGGTAAGCAATCTTCTTCCCTTACAGCACCTTCCTATCATGCTGATCCTCCTATCATGTTGATCTGTCTAACTGCTACACTCATGCACACAATTTTCACCAGAGATCAAGTTGCGTATTAGGAAATGCAACTCTTAGAGTAACTTCTGTGAATTACACCAAAGGAAGAAAAGACAGAGGGCATTCAGAACTTCTTTCTGACAAATGTCAACAGAGCAGGGAAACAGACAACATGCCATTATATGCTTACATAAATGCAAGTTTTGATAAAAACTTACATAGATTGATTCAGTGCACAAATGCCAGTGAATGAAGACACTATGACAAATCTTGGGTGCAAGTGTAAGAGTAAAGTAAAATGGCGTGCCAGATGCAACGTGCCATTTAAACATAGCTAAGCAAGAGAAGAATTGCTTGTCTGTTTTAGGCAGCATCAGGGAAGGTCAGCCAACAATTAACTAGTTGCTGACACATACTTTACCACCAGTATCACATGGGTATCTTGCAAAAAAGTAACTCCAAGCCATTTTAGAGAGGAAAACTTAATTTTGTATGCAAGGTATTACCCTATTCCTCTACTATTATTTTTGAAATAGAAATTTTAATGTCTCATTACATTGGTGTAAAGGAAGCCTGATGGCATAAGGCTGCTAGCTACTTCAGGAGGACAAATTTCTATGGCAGCTCTAAGCCACAATGTCTCCACAGTATCAGAAAGAAAAGCATGTTGTCTGTCATATGATTTCTGAAATAAACCTTTGAAACTGTCTGCTTACAAACAGGCCTGATAGATACTGTGCAGCTGAGAGTTTTTGAGTTTGGTAACTGGAGGAAAGAAGATACCTACTGAGGATCTTTAGAGCAAATTGATACCAGTATCATCATTTTATAGCAAATGCAGTTTTTCACTGTTATATAACCATTTCTCCATGACAAACAAAATACAAAGAAAATAACACATACATCTGAATTCATCTAAAGACAAAATCTGAAGTGCCAGCACTTTTTTACTATGCGAATACAAAGGTAATCCTTGCCTCCCTTTGAAATTGGAAGTCAAGACTATAGTACAGTTCTCTGGCCACACCATTTCCACAAGTCAATTCAAATCTATTTTAAATGCATTCTGCTAAGTGCTTGTACAGAACGAAGACACTGGGAGAGAGCATCATTTCTTCTCTCTTTATAAGAAAGAAAAGATACCAGACTGAAGGTAGACAAACCCGGAGGAATCTTTATCATTTCACATTTCTCTTGCTCCTTGTTTAGGTCATTCATATCAAAATTCTTGCAGCTCTATTTTGTGATTAAAATCTGCATGCAGCACATGCTCACAAAACTACAACAAAGAATCTTAAAAAGGGAGGTTTTACATGCATTTTACATGCTTATATTGTAAGCAAAGGTGCTTCCAATGGTATTTTAAATGTTTGGCACTACCCTGTAGAAACAAATTACAAGTAAATCTAATATATCTGTTTAGTTTCAGAGCAATTTTGAGTAGCTTGTATATCTGGAAAACAATTTTTTTTTAATTATAATAAAGATGCAGACACTAACCTGCCAGGGCCGATCCCAATCAAGAGGAATAGGAAATGCTCCAAACCAACCTCCTAGTATACTGCACGTTGTAGTAATCTGTAGGCTGTTTTCCCAGATGGACATAGCTCTGTAAAAACAATGTGTTACAGGATTTCAGCAGGAGCAAATGTTACCAGTTTAAAATGACATGAAAATAAACACTGCAAAGTAAATACAGACTGCATGTTACACCTCTTAAGCCACACTGCATTTAAATTCAACTGCACAGGAGGCAGGAAGAATTTCTTGCATGCTGGCGAATTCTTTTTGCACAGCCCATCAAAGCATACAGTGTATGACAATGGATCTTAGTGACTTTGGTTCTCAGCTTATAGCCTCCTACCTTTTGAAGCAGTGACTTCAAAAGCTTTGTAAAATTTGGGTTTCTGTTTATTAGGTAAGTGCTTACTGTCCATCAGTAGTTTACTGAGTGATTATTTTGCTTTCCTCAAGCCATGGATTTCTGAGTTCTTTGTGCATTTCATAACACTGCAGGGCATCATACAGAGGGTTGTGACTTCAAATCCCTACTCCAAATCAGTAAGGTACAAGACCTGAACCTTAAATTTGCTTCATCTCAGATTATAAACACAAATTTAGCTTTAGCTAGAAGGAAAAAGGATGGGCATTTTTACAGCTAAAAGTCTAGATGAACTGCAAACCCCAAGCTTCGCAAGTGATGTTTAGATTGTATGACGTGAAAGCTTGAAACCTTTAACCCTTGTTTTGAAGAGTCTGAAGTACTCAGAAGTCTAAAACATGTAACTCACTGCTGCATTCAATATTGAGGGAACCATGTGTAGGAAGTGTAGAACAAACAGTTTCTACTGCTTGCATAATAGAAGTCCTACTGATTGTAATATTTATAATGTAATGTTGACATTTTGGGCATAAAACAACACTATTTATTCTATGCTAATCCCATTGCTGTAACTTAGAACACCAGATTTGAGCACATAATTCTATCTTGTAACATGAAAACAAAAAAACTAGTCTGTACACCAAAAGTTGTGAATTATTTCCAGAAGCTGAGTAACTGAGCTGTGAGCCAATGTGGAGAGGAAACCATTTGCTACAGACCTAAAGCAGTGAAAGAGGCAGCAGAATATACTAAGGACTGACTGAGGTACGTTTGTATCACACAAGGCATCCTATCTGGTAAACGTAAGCACATACTGCTGTGCCATATGGGGATGCTAGATTGAGTCCAAAAGCAAAATAACAGAATGAGCAAGGCACAGTGCTCAAGTAAAGAGCAGTTCTCGGTAGTTTGGCAACAATTTGAACTTCTAATTCATCCACACAGACAAAGCATGGACATAAACCTCTCAAACCTGGCATGACTTGTTCTCCAACAGCATACTGCAGTACCAATGCATTGATCGTTCACTGCTCTGCATGGAGTGTCAGCTATCAGGATTTTTGTAGGTGGTCATTAACACACCACACAAGTCCTTCATTAGTATGAGCAGCAACATATATGAGCTTTATATACACCTGTATGTGTATTCATATGAAAACTGTTTTATTTCTTTATTTTTAAACTACTGAGAAAACTATAACTGAAATATTCTACAGGCAAAACTAGTGATATTGAAGATGGCAAATGATGATTAGTGGCATAATAACATTTTAAAACTTCAGATCATTTCAAACCTTATTCATAATACAAGTCGAGAACTGTTTTAAATAATATTTGAATTAAGAGGTTAGTTAACATAAAATAATGTATTGAGATAGATCCTAGATAGACAAGATGAAGAACTCTGCACCAGAGCAGGACTGAAATGCAAAGCAGCACACACCTTTGCTGCCCCACCTTCACAAAGGACATTTCCAAACCTGTGAGTATGCAGTATGCTGACAAATGATTAAATGGGAGAAATGAAAACTGGACAAAGCACTTCTATACTTCACTTGCTTTATTTAATTGCTCAAAAAGTCTACTTGGAAAACTTCCACACTTCATATTTCTAAGCTATCTGAGCTACAATTGTGTTGCATGTAACTGTTTTCTGCATTCCAACGTGTCCCTGACCCACCAATATCTCCCAACCCTTATGTAACAAATAAACCACAGGTCACACAGTACCATGCAATGCCACACAGAATCTGACCCTTACAGGCAAGCAGACTTAAAGACTGATCTTTTTTGAATTCTAACTGAAAGTGATTTTACTCAAGGTGACTGCTTTGCTAGAAGTGCTGCAATTGCAGATGGAGAAAGCTAAGTACCTCTGCAGAAAAAAATAAGCACTTGTCAAGATTACCTCCAAGATATTTATGCTGAATGACTCAACTGTACCATAGCTGTTACAATGCAGTAGATTACATAGCATGAGTTACTTGGACGTAATCTTATGAATAGGCCTCCAAGAAAATATTAGGTCTATCAGTGTTTTCACACTGGATGACCACCACCTTAGCATAGCAGAAAGATTTTACAGCTATCTAGAACAACTGTTGGCTAATTAATATTCAAATCTATTACTTGTTTACATTTGATTTATTAAGATAAACTTTCTTTTTATAGATGCCCCTTCCTACATTTCTGCAAAGACAAAGGCACAGCTGATCTCAATCTTACAAATACTGCAAACAAGAGCAACAAACATAAATGTCAATGATTACTTCAGTCTAAGTTGTACACATACTTTTTAAACAATTCCTCTTTCATTCTACACTACACTCCTACTCAGACTTTCCAGCTTGTTGTGCCACTGCAATTCAATTCTCTAAACATTTCCTTCAAGGCACACAGCCATGCTGATCTTACCTAAATGCCCTTTTCAACCAGTCCCACCTCATTCCAAGTGGTTAAGCCAGGATATAACCTTTGAATAAATCATTCCTACACTCAGTTAACATCTAAGTTACTTGCAACTCATTCATGAAGTTAAATGAAAAAACACAGACTTGTTTTCAAAAGGGCACCTTACTGTGACCCATAAAAAACTTGCTACAATATTTCTCCATAATCTGTTTCCATTGAAAGGGTTGCATAACCAAACATCATTACTAAATGCACATCTAATCAGATAAAGTCATATGGCTCCCTACCAACAAGTATGTACAAAAACATCATAGCAAGACAATCCTGTTTCCTATGCAATAATTATGCTGAAATAACAGGAAGAACTGGGCTAGGAAAGAGAAAGACATGCATTTAAAATCTAACCTGGCATAAAGGCTGGCGGTTGTCAAACGTTTCTTACTTGATTTCACCTATTCTCTCCAGTTGCAAAACTTCCACAGACTAACAAGTGAATCAGCAATGATTTGTTTTGGCTAAATAGCACTATGATTTCATTAAATTCTTGCGAGGTATCATTTTTATTACCCTATTCACTCGTTCCATTGAAAATAAAAACCAAGCATAACCAACGTGCACAAGGATTTAGATACTTCTCCATAAGCTGAGAACTCATACAAACAAAAGCCAATATATAAACTACTATAAACAGTTTTCAATTTCTTATTTCAGATCTTCTCTATGCAGAGTAACTAAATGTAACTCCCTTCAGTCATCAGGAGGATAGAACTTTTTGTTTTCTTCTGAGATGAGAAGTTACCCTTATGAGCTGTTATAAGGGAATGAACACTAACATCTTACTAAACTTCAAGTGTATGTGGAGCTTCTTTATGTTTCAGAGTCCAGTCTTTCAACAGTCCTGTTATTTAGCATGTGAAAAAAGGCAAAAGAGATAGAATGCTTCTGGAGAACATATTACCCATGCTAATGTAATGGCTTTTACTAGGAAAAAAAAATTACATTCATTTACATGTGCTCTTGAAAAAAAAAAAAAAAAAAGAAACCTGACACTGAGGAAAGCTTTCTTTAAATTTGAAAAAGAACAAGGGCAAAGATTACATAATTAAGATGACAGGAGATCATATATTATTTTCACAATTACATCCAAGTTAAAAATACTGTTAAAATAATACTGATTTTAGCTGCTATTCCTACTCTAACAATTGTTTTTATAGAGCTAACATTGGATCAAGCATGAGATTTTTCCGCTACAGCTCACTCACAAGTCTCCTCTGTATTATAATCATTATACTGGACTGCAGGATGCTTTCACGCCAGTAAAATGCTCATTTGAAACTTTCACCTCCTCTAAGCACATACAAAGTAAGGCTTGGTCTCTGGATACCAGAAGTAAAAGGCCAGTTTTCTGAACCAGTGTCTTCAAAATAAATAATACTATTTTTGTCAGAAAAGCTCTCAAAGGTTTGTAATTACAAAAGTAACACAACAATTCAGAGAGTTTCCTTCCCCAAAGTAAAATAATAAAAATAATTCTATGATATTCACATCAATTCAGTCAATTTTTATCCTGGTTGAAAATTAGAATAGAACAGAACTTACCCATTTCTACTAAATACTCGTATCCAAGCTTGTACGTTTGGTCCCAGCAAACATAAACATTGTAAAGTAGTAAAGGTAGACAAGAGAACTGCAAACAAAAATGTCTCAGTCACTGACCTACAAAGAAGCAATATAACAAAATCATGTTATAAATACTAATTTTCTAAGAGTTTCAAGATTTAGGAAAAAGAAATTCTCAATCAACTTGTGAAAGCACACGTGCTTTCTTAAGCCTCACGTATAAGCATAAAGCTTTTTCTTATTATTCTAGAACAGTTCAAAAAGGTAGAAGAAAATCACTGTCATCTGTTGTCTCAGCAGACTGAAATATAGTTTATTAGCCCCTGATATCTGTATCATTTTAAATACAGGTTTATCTCGTACAGAACGTCAGTTTTGAATGCTTGGATATTTACTTCATTATTCAGCTCATTTTTCTAGTTTGACATTGTGGAAGCAGCCATCAAACCAAACACCATTGTTAGTCTGTAACTTGTCAACTCTCTCAGAAATCAGATTGCTTTCTGGTTATCCTATTTTCCTTATTTAATTATGCCTTAAAATTTACTTATATAAAAGGATGAAAGATATGCAAGATGTGTATTTTATAATCTTAGGAGAAAAATAATTAAACAAAACTTAGCAAGTGTTTGTACCCATACAAACGTGAAACATGGAAAATAGTTGTACCCCTACACAGAACAAATATTAAAGTAAAACAAGTTGTTTTCAACTGTCTCATAGAACAGATCTTCAAACACTTAAAAGTCTAAGAGCCAACTTCTATAAAGACAGCCACCCTGCTTCCTCCAGCCAGGAGCTTATTTTTTTAACTTGTAATGTACCAAATAATATGTAAGAATTTATACCAATATGTGCTAGGAGAACTCCCCCTTAAAGCGTTTAGAGAAAAATAGGGTCTTCTGACTTACTCTATGAGAGGTGCTCCATAAAGAACAATAATCGCATGAAATAGTATGCAAGACATGAAAAAGTATATACAGCATTTTAGAAATCTGGATATCTAAAAAAGAGCAATAAAATATCAGAATAAAGTTTCAAAAGTAAAGAGAATATAAATAACATACTTAGCTTATAGTATCTAATCAACAGCATCACACACTACTCTTTCTTTTGATATTCAATTTTAGCTACCGACAGCACAGTATGTATTCAAACAGGTATCCTTTAAACAATGAATTAAAAAAGACCACACTCACTGCATCCAACGTTTCTTCATCCATCTTATTATAATACAACAATCATAAAGTAAATAACTGGAAATGACAGTATAACCAGAGATGGTTTCACATTCTGTGAAAGCTGCCTTTTAATGAAAGTTTAAAAAATTTCAAAGTAAGAAAGTACACAGTATGAAAAAAAGACATTCAGAATCAAAAGAGGTATTTAAAACCATAAGGAATTAAAGCCACTCTGTTTTGCAACTTGGCATCGTATATACTAAATCCTTTTGAAAAGTGTCTGTGGCTACCTGTAGATCTACGTGTAACTGTCTAGGAAATTAAAGGACAGCTTCTGGGTACTCACTATATCATACAGAAGGACGGACACTGGATAAACACATCTGGCTAGGCCTGTTCTGATCAGGTCACAAATGGAAATCCATATCTCACTTGTCCGCTTCTTTGATATTTATTATTTATACTAGGCTGGGATGAAACCTCACCTAGAACACATAAGCCTACTTCATTTTCAAATAAAAGATGGTTAAAAAACTTGTTTTCCATGATGATTTCATGTATTTGACATCCCCTCTGTCAGCAGTTAACAGTTCTACATACAAAGATACCACTTTCTTGGATGACTGCTTAACTGACTTCAAATTGTATTCTACCACTCCTGATCCAGCTGTGTTTTATGCCAAATGTGCTCTCTTCTAACCTGTTATATTGGGATCCATGCCTTAATGGTCCTGTCACAAACTGTAGCTACAAAAAAATCTCCCAGATTCTTCTGTGTGCACATTTAGTCATTCGAGGAAATGCAATCATTTTGACACCTTTCAACTTCACTTTTTGAAACTTAACCAACTTTCAGAAAATCACAGAATAGCTTAGGTTGGAAGGGGCCTCAAAGCCCACCCTGTTCCAAACCCCTGCCACGGGCAGGGCTGCTCCCCACCAGCTCAGGCTGTCTATGGCCCCATGCAACCTGGCCTTGACACCTCCAGGGATGGGGCATCACAGCTTCTCTGGGCAGCTGTCACTGCCTCATCAACTTTAAGTAGTAATGAGCTGCTCCCTCTTTTCCATCTCAAATCCTACATGTGAGAAACTACACAAGACTGAAGCATCTCTTAGCAATACTGAAGGTCAGGCCTAGAATGTGAAGTGACTTTTGTGCCCATTCTGGTGCTCCCCAAATCCTGCCAGCAGGAAAACTGCTGGTGGCCAATGTTGTCTCCTGGCTGCAAACCACAGCCCGTGGGCAACAAGTGGCAGGGATGGCTCATCCCAGCGGGCTGCTGGCAGGTCCAGACAGAATTAAACTGTGCAACAGCTTCAGCACGTGCTCACTCATGGAAAACAAGAATTCACCACCAAAAGTTGTAAATTCTTTCCCACCCCATCATTTCGGTGACAGACTTTGCATCCTCTCCACATCACTCGGTAGGAATCTAAGGAAAAAAAAAAAACCACCAAATCTTACCTTGTTAGACAGCGAGCTTCTCTTAGAAGACGGATTTGGCTTTAGGATTAAACACAAGGTTACGTTAAGGACGCTAACACAAACAGAACAAACACACAGCCACGTGAGGTGCGTGCCCAAAACTGAGAACCCGTCCAGAAACAAAGCAGGCACGAGTGCCGTCAGGACGATGGAGACGGCGCAGAGCAGGTTGGCGGCCAGCAGCCTCCTCAGCTCTGCCTCCCTCATCGCGCCGCGCCGCCGCCCACCTGCAGCGGGGCGAGCGGGGCGAGCGGAGCCAGCAAGGCGCTCAGAGCGCTCAGGGGGCCAAAAGGGCTTTTTTTCGTGGCAGAATAACGACCCCCGAGCTCTCACAACCCGGCCCTTACCCGGGACGCCGGCCGCCCGGCAACGGGATGGCGTCAGCTCCGGGGCGGGCCCGGAAGAGGCGGTTGTTATGTTGAGCCGCCATGGTGTGCGAGAAGTGTGAGTGCGGTGGGCTCGGAGGGGTTCCCGGCGTCGGGCGGGGGCTGAGGACGGCGGGCAGCGCAGTTCTAATCGTTGCTATTCTTTCCGCAGGTGAGAGGAAGCTGGGCACGGTGATCACTCCTGATACGTGGAAGGATGGGGCGAGAAACACCACAGGTAGCGTCGGCCGCACGGTGTTCACCGCGGGTCTAACCGAGGTGCGCGGGCTGTCGCAGCCCCGGCCTCCGCGGTAGTTACTGGGTTGGCTCTTCGCTGCTCTAGTTTCCTTTGAGCGCAGTGAAGGTTTGTTTGCCTTGAGCTTTCTGGAGTTGAACTTGTCCATCTCACTGCAGCCTTCCAGTATTTAAAAGGGAATCATAAACGGGGGGGGGGAGGGGAGGGAGGAGGAATCAACTTTTTACTTGAGTAGATGGTGATAGGACAAGGGGGAATGGTTTTAAGCTCAAGGAGGGAAGATTTGGATTGGATGTCAGGGGGAAGTTCTTCACAGAACTTACTACTACTTACAGTAGTAAGGTGCTGGAACAGGCTGCCCAGAGAGGCTGTGAATGCCCCTTCCCAACACCAGGTTGGATGGGGCCCTGGGCAGCCTGGTTTAGTACCAGATCTGGAGGTTGGTGGCCCAGCCTGAGGCAGGGAGTTGGAACTTGGCGGTCCTTGGGGCCCCTTCCAACCCAAGCCATTCTGTGATTCTGTGTTTCTGTGACGATCTTTTCCCTCGTATTGAAGAATGATACACAGTGCCTACCCATTCTTTGTGCTGTGTGCTTCTCGTTACTCTGAGCACATGTGCACACGTATGGCAGCTAGAAGTTGAGCTCTTTCCAGTGTGCTTCGAACTGTAGAAATGTATTTATTATTTAATGTATGTATTGCCTTGTGCTTGTGTTCTTTTTATAGAAAGCGGTGGCCGAAAGCTGAACGAAAACAAGGCACTGACCTCGAAGAAAGCAAGGTTAGTATGTGACCCTGATTTCACCTTTTTTTTTTTTTTTTTAAAAAAGGCAATTTTCTGTAACTGAGATCTCACTTCTCACAAAGCAGGGTAACTCCTCAAAACTTGTCCAAAATACGCCTTAATCTTTTTTTTTGTTTGTTTGGAGAGAGTTACAGCATGTTATTCCTTGGTGAAAGTGTGTCTGTATGTATTTAATGGAGGCTTTCTGTGGAATTACAGAGCCTGGGTAGCTGTATTGCTGCAGTCATCCATAAAATTGGTAGGAATTGGTGTTTGTGTTAGAAGAGGAGCTGAAAAGGCCATCTGTCCCTGTTTGCAGGAGAGTTAGAGTATGTGACATTTAAAGGTCCCTTCCAACTCAAATGATTCTGTGATCTTCCATGCTAAGATTGCCTGTTCAATCTCTTGAGCATCTCTTTTATGTCTAAAGCATGTTCTGTTATCCTATGCCAGGAGCAAGCCACTGCTGGAATGTATTTTGAGTTCAAAATAGGCTTGTATCTTAATAAAAATATATGGTTTTAGTTTAGCTTTTATTAATTTTATCTCTGTAATGCAAGAAATCTCTCATAATGGAGAAAGCAGGAGTTTTTCTATAGGAATTCTGTGGACTGTTAGAGTAGACCTCTTCATGTCCCTTTTCTTGGTTACAGTTTTTGCTGGAGTTTCTGTCTGTGTCCTCTCACATAACGTTTTTAGTATGAGGTGAAGGAAGTACTTTATTTTAGTGTGCATAAATAAAGTACTTCTCCTTTTTTCCAGGTTTGATCCTTATGGAAAGAACAAATTTGCAATATGTCGAATTTGTAAGAGTTCTGTCCATCAGCCTGGGTCTCACTACTGTCAAGGATGTGCCTATAAAAAAGGTGAGTTTCACTGAGTACCATATTACCCCACTTTGGTTTGAAGTTAGAGACAAGTAGAACTTTTGAGTTTGTTCTGTATTGCAAAGAGAATGCTGTGATGAGTTCAGTCTTCAACTACTAATATAAAGGTGTAGAAAAGATGGAGTCAGAGAGTCATGACTCTCTGATTCCATCACAGTGCACAGTGATGGAGAAGAGTGTAGAAGTCCTAAATTCCATATAAATAAATCAATTTTCACTATGAGGCTGGTCAAACATTGTAATAAGTGACTCAGAACCCTTATGAAATCTCTACTGGAGAATATAAAACTTTATCAGTCTTGTGAGTTTGAGAGGGTAAGCAAAAGGGCTCAAACTTGTAATCCATTTGGGGGGGGGAAATAGAGCAACATGAACTCAGTTACTTTATTAATATTGAAGAATTCACTTAGCACACAGACGTGGGGTGGACAAATTGTTAGATGTAGAGTCAAAGCTAACTAGTAATGAGTTGTGTTTATGGAATAAATGTTAGTTGTTCTACAACTGCGCACTGTCTCACTGAGAGGTTTAGCAGTCTGCTAAAGGAGGGCTGCCTTTTCTAGTTGCTATATGCTCACCAGATGGCTGTCTGAATTCCATATGATAGAACCTTGTTATTTCTTAAATTTATTGTCATTTTGGGTGGGTATCAGGATTTTATCTTTGTCTGCTTGTGCATCCTTCCAGGTAGAAACCTCAAAAACATCAGAAGTTAAACTTCAAATACATTAGATTCTGATTCTGAACATCAAAGATGCTCAGATTGCAGCATATTTCTAGAAGCAGCTGCAGTCTTGATGCTTCAACTGTTGCATGTCTCTGAAATCTAGATACCATCTAAAAAGCTTGTTGCTCCTCACTTTAGATGTGGAGTGAATGCTGTATGGGATGGATTTTGAACTCTGAAGTAAATAACAAAGCATGTTCCCCACTGTTCTCTTTTCTAGTGGACTCTTAGATGTGTGTCCAATCAAATGAAGCCTATATGTAAAGTCATGATTTGTAGAGATGCAACAGAAATAGCTGTCAGTTAATTTTATTAATTAATTTATTTATTTTGGTCTGCTGATCTCTCAAAGCAAGATGCGTCCTACTGGGCAGAATATTTGCACCTTTCTGTTTTAGAAAAAGGGGGAAACACTGAGGAAACTGTCCCTTCTGTCCCTGCCGAACTTGTGTACTTTTTGCTGCTCCAGTCTTCTGACCACTCTTTGTGTTTAGGTCAAAGTCCTCTGGGTCATTAGTTGTCGCTACTTCAATTCTCAGCTATTCTTGGTGTCCATTATAATTCTCTCTTGCACTCTGTAATTAGCTTAATTCTTTGAAAGTGTATTCTTACCAGCTTTCTCAATTGTCAGTTAATCTTTCATTTAGCAACCAGTTTCTTGGTGCCTGTATTTCCTTAGCCTAGCTACTTTCTGTCCATCTCAGGCTACAGGAATTATGAAGTTTGGTAACATGCTATTTTTACCCATGGGATCCTTTCCTGGCTGTCCTTCAGTAGTTCAGCAAATTAGAGGCTTCAGGTGCTGCTGTGAATCATAATGCTCCCAGAGTTTATTTTTTAAGCAGAAGTATTACATGTATACTGCAAATATTAATTAGTGTTAAAAATCGTATTTACTACTTCTGAACGTGCAGTATCTGGTGAGAAGGTGCATGGGTAGATTGTCAATTTGAGATCTTCAACAGTTTCTTGAAGATTATCCTTACAAAAACATACTAGCTAGAAAAGATAATGGCTGTTTAATAATTTACACACCCTTGTGTGTTTGTAGGCATCTGCTCAATGTGTGGCAAGAAGGTGTTGGATACGAAGAACTACAAGCAAACTTCTGTCTGATTACATTGATCAGTTTTTCATGAACTTCTGACTTCTGCATCTTTGTACGTTTACCTCTGTCCAATATTGTTGATGAATATTACTTCCTGGAAGATAATACACTTACTTGGGATGAGCTTAGGGGAGAAGACAGCCTGGTTGTTTCTGTAGAAATGAACACGGTATTGGATTGTTGTTGTTGTGGCACTAACGTTAATATTTAAGGGGTAATGGTTTGCAGCAGCTGATACAGCTCATAGTGATAGGTTGAAACTATGTTACTATCATATCAGATCCTTGAGGTGAGCACTTACTGTTCTGTTGTCCTGTCTTGAATCTTCTTGTGTGCTGGTAATACTTAACGGATGCATAAAATATGAGCTTATATCACATCTTTAAAATACCATCATTAATTAGTTCTGTGCTTACAGGTATTTATATTTTTGCTCATCCCTAACTATTATGTCCTGCACTTTGATGTGCTGCTTTTCAGAGCTTAATTCCATTGTTCTGACCCAACGGTAGTGTCTGTTGAATCGAAAGCTGTTAAACTACTGAAATGCAGTGTATTGCTGCAAAAGTAAGAACTGGCAGAGTAAGATTGATTAGCTATTCCCTTGTCAAATCCTAAGCAGATTTTGCATACAGCATCTGGTGGCCCAAGGCAATAAAATAACGAGCATCAATTTCTCATGCCAGGTCTCAGTCTCCTTATTTCCTAAGTTGGTGTGGTTTCTAAATGCTTGTTTTGAAACTGGCTCTTGAATTCTGTGATGTATAATTGTTTATATAAATGTCAGATTGAAAGATCAAAACAGACTGCCTTCCCTTTAGCACTGTTTGGAGATAAGACTGAGGCAAGCACCTATGAACATGTGAGGCTGCATTTCTTTCATCCTTTTGTGAATTCTGTGTAAGAAAGTAATTTCTCCTACAAAGAATAATAACTTGAATTCATGATAGGATTTTAACTAGACCTTTTTGTTTATTCCTCTTGCCATCTATTCTTAGCACATTCTTACAGTTTTGCAACTTATTTTCAACCATAAGGGGGGGAAATATTAATAGGAATTTCCCTGTGAATAGATTTTTCTAGTTTAAATTTCCTTTTGTTTTCTTATCTACTACAACTGCACGTGTACTAGAGATTAAGCAGTCACTGTTCTTTCTCTGTGTTAATGTGAAAAACTGAACAGAAAGTGCATGGAATAGCTCCTGTACAATAACACCAATTCTGATGTCAGTGTACATCACTGTGGCACATTCCTTGTACAGATGAAAAAATGTCTATAGTGGACCTCATGCTTTGCAGCAAGTGCTTCTCAGTACAATTGTAAAAACATTTCAACCATTTGACAAACAAATTACGAGGTGAAAACCAAGTAGTTAACATTATGTATGGATCGTTGTCCTATGTAACAACAATTCTATAATGCATAGATCCTGGCAACCATCAAGAGGCTCAGATGAGATCATGGTTAGTGCTGAGTGTATGTTCTACAGAATATATTTCCTGTCATGCTGGAAACAATAATTTGTGGTGAGGTGACCAAATTTGGTTACTGCCTGCTGGATTTATGTAAGGCAGTTGTGCTGAAGGGTCTCACTTGAATGTACTTGTTTACTGCCTCTTTTTTGTCCTCTACAGCTGTATTTTCTGTGCAATTGATATGACTTACTGCACTGGCAGTATTGCATTAAAGGTATGAAGGCTATTACAAGTGAAGGTTGTAAACCAAGTAATTCTAATCATGTGAAGGGATTAACTGGGGGGATGTAACTGGACATCTAGGCAAGTCACTTCTTGTGGTAGGTGTGGTATTTTAAAACAATTGCAAAAACTCCCACATTTAGAGAAGGAAATCTAAAAATCACAGGTAAAATGGTTTGGGGATTTTTAAGATACTCTGTAAGTCACAGGTAGGAGTTCCTGTGGTTTTTTTAGAAGATGTGTGTGTGAGGGGGTGTGTGTGTGTATATGTATTACTTTTTTTTCTTCTCCCTTCATTGAGTTAGACAATTTTCATCAACTTAGCCTTCACCTTCAGCTTTTGGATCGGACTTATTAGAGATGATTTCAAGTGAAGGATCCTCTGACATTCTGCAAACTCTTCATTCTTTGTGTGTTTGTTCTATAAGATTAGTTTTCCCATTCTGTATATAAGTTTTTCTTGCCTTCCTAATGTTTTCCAGCATCTTTATTTCAAAAATATGACTGTAATTCTTGAATGCATTGTATCAGTTCAGGGTTATTTCACGCTGTAAATGCTGGTATTCAGTAAATGTGTACTTCATTTTGCAACATGTAAATAATATGACTCTTTGTTGACAATTGGTTTATGAATGGAGCTTTTATGCCCTATTGCTGTGTATCTCAGGTGGAAAAAGGAGAGAGTTGTTTGTTGGTTTGATTATTTTTTTTTTACTTTTTAAAGTGGTTACAGATGGTGCCTGTTCTGTTGGTGGTTTGCACATGCTTGGGGTCTTTCAGACTTCTTTACTCTCATGAGAAGTTCAGTGAGGCCTGTGTAAGACGTTCTCATGTAAGCAGTCAGCTATCAGAAATGCCCTTTTCCTTCAGAAATCATTGCTTTGGAGACCTAAGTTTGTGTATCAGGCACTGTTCTGCCTCTCTGCATTATGGTTTAAATTTGTATACCACTCCAGTATAATTGATTTGTCATATAAAAGCATTTTTTTTATTATATTAGAAATGTCTCATTAGCAGTGATGCCTTTCTTGCAACATTATGCCTTGAAAAGCAAAGGAAAATCTGTTATGGAACGTTGCCACTTTTGTTTAATGTCTTGAGAAGAACAAATCAATGTTCCCAGACAATCAGACTGTCCTCTAGTTCACAAGTTATGTAAGAGATTTGTGCTGCCAAATTGAGTTGGATTAGAATTTTCCTCAGTAGGGCTGAATTTCTACTGTCCTTGCTCTTTCAGCATGTTTGTTGGCTAGAGCTGTTACTTACTGAGTACAAACAACATTTCGATGCAGATTTCTGAGAGGAATGAAGGGAATAGCTGTAAGAATGCTTCTGTGCATGCAGCAGCCAAACAGATACAAATTGAGCAGAAACCACTGATGAGGTTTTTTTTGCGCCCTTGCATTTGTCCCATCCTTCCCATTTGTTCCTCTGATTGATTTACCCAATTCTTACTGCAGCATTGGCTAGAGAAAACACCACCCAGGTTAGTCATTTCCAAATACGGTTCCAAGGCATAAAGACTATTTTCATTTTTACCTGGTTCTGTACTGGCTGGGCATTGCTCTATCCAGAGTACTTTAGGGCTTCTTTTGTATTGTCACAAGAGTAAATTGTAATTGTAAACACAAGAGTTACGTGCAAAAAAATAATAAACAATAGCTTGAATTTAGCAGCTGCATGAAGTAACACAATGAACTGCGTTACTATATTTTGCTAACAGAGCTGTACATTTCCCAGCCATGGAAACAACAGACCACAGTCTGAGAAATTCATTATTCACTGAAAGACAGCAAGCCAAGAGAAGGAGAAAACTCTACATCAGAGGACAGTAAACTGTCTGTAGATGACAAGAAAGCCAGTGTAAGATTTCTTAGGGTCAGGAAGTAAAAAAGGCTTTCATGATGGACATGAAATGTACAGTGAGAACTTCTGTACCTCTAATTGTTCAGACAGTGCTACAGAAACTAAGCAGTGATAATGCTTCTGAATGTCTTTCAGTACAGCTTTTTAGTGCCACTGCTGTATGCAAGCAGCATTTGGTTAATTGAAAGAGATTTGTTAGTTGTTTACATGAAGAAATTTTGTTTCCAGTGCCTTTGTGCCCACTGGTTGCTCAATAGATGTTGCTAAACTATCTTCTCAGTGAGCAGTTGTTCAGCATGGGATCGTGGTTGTGTCTCTTGCTTCCACTGTCTTACCAGGTCACTGATTTAGGTTGCAAGGTGCAAAACTGTATACTGATAACAGGAAAAGTGACCTGGAATATCATTAGAGAATGAACACCGTTGCCACACTGCAGCTGAGGTTTGGTACTAAGCAAAACTATTTTTGCCATCCCCAATGGTAGAACTGGATGGACAATCTGATTAGGCATGAGGGCAGCCCTTGCAAATAAGAGCCAAATGTTTATGTTAGTGAGGATTATAAATGTGCCTCATTGTGAAAAGCAGTTGGCTTTAAAGTAATTTTGTTCCTCCCAGACTTCTGCTTTTATAGAAGTTATCATCTGAACTTCATCAGAACCTGATTTTTTCATTAACTTTTATGGATGGAAGCTGCAGTTCACTTAACAAAATTTGCATGAGGCATACACATGTTCATCATCTCTGTCTAACATCAGCAGAAGACTTGAATTCTCTGTGGATAAGGAGGGCTCATTTCACCCACGTCAGGGCAACAAGAGCGGATGTGGTGGAGGGGCCTTGATGAATTTGTTTGAAATCCTGTAAAAAAAACTGAAGGGAAAAGCTGAGGGCAGTCTTCTCCGTGTGGATATTGGATGCTGATGAAGATTATTTTCTGACATGGTTCATCGAGACATTTCTGAAATTGAGTAAATAGCAAGTTGAGTTTTCAGGTATCACGGAAGTGACAGTCAATCTACCCAATTAAGCAGGCATTTCCAGACTAGATTTCAAATAGTAGAAAAGCTCAAGAAACTGCTTCTTCCTTCCTTAGCCTCTCTCTTTGCACTGAAAGATGCAGACTGAACTTGGCAATGTTAGCAATTCATTAAGGCTGTTTTTCAGAGCAAAACATAAGTCCTTCCAGCAAATGCACTTACTATATGCCTGTCTGCCAGGTGGTATTGGGAAAAGAAATGTAGACATTTTTTTTCTGCCTCATTGTAGTTACGATTAAATATAGCTATTGCTTAACTGTTTCAGTTCATACGCAAACGTAGAACACATAGTAGCAATTTTCTATTGGTTAATGGGTCTATTCACATGTAACTATAATGTGGTTATTAAGCTGTTTTACAGAAGATCAATCCTTAGTTTTCTGTTACTGCTTTTGCTGATGTAAAAGTGAGAATTTTGTTTCTGTACATCCCAGATTGTCACAAACACTTATTGTTCTGATGTGTATACTCCTGTTCACAAATACATCAGTGTCACTGGGCTGTGTGTGATAAAAGGCTTTCATGGCTGCTAGGGATCTGGCATCTAGCCAACAATTCTTGTTTTTTTGTTCTTGTTTGTTTTGTTCATTTCCAGAAATACAGCAGCTGGGTGCCAGGGAAAAGGTTTTGAAAGGCTGATATATTTAAACAATTTAATAAAAGTTTCAGATCCTTTTCCATATAAACCTGTATATGACAAAATCACAAGACTTGTTTGGAGATGAATCTATAGCTTACTCAAGCTTAACTGTTGTGTACGAGCTGTGAAACGAAATTTTGTAACAGCTACTCTACCATCAAGTGCCATGTGCTCTTGCTTTATTCCTGCCTTTGTACTGGTAATGAAAAGTCAATGCTTAATTGAGGGAGGGAATTGTAATACTAGCAACAGTAAAAGAGCGTGATGCACAAATGCACACTTCTCTCCTTGAGCACTTGTTAAGCATTAATTTTCCCTTACAGCAGGAGGTAACTTGTGCCTGTGTCTTTATTGTATTATGATTATATAATCTACCAAGTGTCCAGGGCAGAATATGATAAGAGTTTGATACAGGAGTTGATTAATTCAGAAATCAA